ATGGGTGGATGCTCTAACCACTTAGGACACCAGCCAGGGAAAGAAGAGAAACTTTATTTAGAAAGTTACAGAGGTAGAAAAACTGGGCTGTAAGAGAAATGGGTTCAGGAAACAAGTTACAGAAGCAAAAGGGCCCTTGGAGCATAGGAGAGAGAGAGAAATAAAAAGGACACACACACACACACACACACACACACACACACACGCGTGTGCAAGGAAAACAATGCCCTGGGAGAGGAGAAACGCACAGGTGGGAGGGAGAGTGGCAAGATTTAATATTTTTAAGCTAATACTAATTCAAGACACAAATGATATGAAATAAAGGAAAACAAACTCTCCTATTTCAATAGGTACCAAGGAACTGAATTCTTTATTTTTTAATGTTTCTATTGGTTTCAGAGAGGAAGGGAGAGGGAGAGGGAGAGAGATACAAACATCACTGATGAGAGAGACTCATCGATGGGCTGCCTCCTGTATGGCCCCCACCAGGAATCCAGCCTGCAATCCGGGCATGTGCCCTGACTGGGAATCAAACCGTGACCTCCTGGTTCCTGGGTCAATGCTCAACCACTGAGAAACCTGGGTTGGAATTGAATTCTTTTTTTTTTTAATATATTTTATTGATTTTTCACAGGAAGAAGGGAGAGGGATAGAGAGTCAGAAACATCGATGAGAGAGAAACATCAATCAGCTGCCTAGTGCACGCCCCCCAGTGGGGATGTGCCCACAACCAAGGTACATGCTCTTGCCCGGAATCGAACCTGGGACCCTTGAGTCCCCGCTCTATCCACTGAGCCAAACAGGTTCGGCGGAATTGAATTCTTAAAACATCTTTTTCTCAACTGGGTCTTCAAAGCCTCGATTTCGGTTTCTCAGTGAAGACAGAGGAGGCTGGACCAACTTGCCAAGTTCTGCTGATAAACAGAACTTCCACCCAACTTAACTGTTTAAAAGAAGTGCTGGCCATTTTCCCTTTGCTGTTCATAAATGTTATTACTCTGCTGCACTGCATTCAATCCATCTTCTGCAGATGGTTTCTCCTATGAAGGGTGCTGGGCCCCGCCTACCGCGTCACAGCACAGGACATCTATAAGGGCCCAGGTGGATGGACTCCTGGCCTGAGTGCCAAGACAGTACGGTGCCATAGGAAATTCTTCCTGTTAACTTATTAACTATTTTATTAGCCATTTGGTGGAGGGGGGGGGGGGGCTAAGCAAAGGCCAAAAACAAGTACTTTTTAGTCATCAATCTACTTCATTTCTTTGTGCTTTAGGGAAATTAAGTCCTCAAATAATTTTTAAACACACACACACACGCGCACACACACACACACACACACACACACCACACGCTCCTCATACAACTTTCCAGGCTGTTGCAGCTCTAAGAAGCTGAGCGCTGTCAAAGGCACTATTTGCTTTCAGACTCAGTCCCTACCTGCCTCCGAACTGACGAAGAGGAGGTGGGCCCCTCGATAGGTATCCCAGGAGAAGTAGAATTCTAAGCTCAGGGGAAGTGCTGGCTAAAGGCAGCCACTATTTTCAGTCTTCGAGATCTAAGTTAAAGTTTTAGACCTTAGAAACACACAGCACCTGACCCCGGCCTGGTCACCAACAAGCGGGAGCGCGCACACAGGTCCCGGGGCACCTGCGGCCTATTCCTCCCTCCACCACCAGCCTCTCCCGGGGATAGAGCACAGCGACAGACACCCCCAACTCCAAAACGCCTACTCGGCAAAGAGCTCCATCGGGCCTTCATTCCAGAAGCACACAATGAAGAAAACAATGTTAAAAAGAAAGAAAGAAAACAAGGTTCTCCATGCTGGAGACGACAGAAAGGAGATTTCTCTTTTTAACGAGGAGCTACAATTTAACTTTCCCTTTCCCACAAACTCTCCAGTTCTTCACTATCAAAATAAACTGTTTAGTTCACAGCCTTTATTTTACATTTTAAGGAATGTTACCTTAACAATAACAAAAAATACTTTCAAATACATACACACACACACACACACACACACACACACATATATAGCTGGGGTAGTTACTAATAAAAAACATATAGAGATCTTCATGTAAAAGTGCTTCTATATTCAATCACAAGTGTTTGGAAAACTTCTTCCATAAAATTTTAGCACTTCTTCAATGTGTTAAGTGCTAAAATTTGTCCTCCTCATTAAATAAGTTATACTAATGCCTCCCTTAGGCAATAGTAACTTCATTGTCAGTGGTGGCCTTTATTCAGTTTAAATAATTCCAGGTTTTCCATATTATAATGCAAGCCTACCTTTTCACACGACTACAGGATGCTCATATTTGCTTAAATGTACAAATGCCAAAGCTAACTCACAAAACCACCTGGAAGAAAGCCCTCTCACCAAGTGACCCGGGACTGCACGTCTATCTCAATTAGGCTAGTGTAGCCAGGATGCTAACAAGGCTGATGGTACCACCTAGCTTTCCTCAGACTTTTTGTAAGTGGAAAATAAATTAAATAAATTACAGACAGGCTGAATTACTTTAAATACTTCAGGGTTTATGTATTGTTTTTAACCCTCACTCAAGGATATGCTTATTGATTTTAGATAGAGGGGAAGGGAGAGATAGAGAGGGAAGGGGAGGAAGAGGGAGAGGGCAAGAGAGACGAAAGAGAGAGAGAGAGAGAGAGAGAGAGAGAGAGAGAGAGAGAGAGAGAGAAAGGAGAGAGAGAGAGAGGAAAAGCGGGGGAGGGGGGAGAAGGAGAGGGCAAGAGAGATGAGAGATGAGAGATGAGAGAGAGAGAGAGAGAGAGAGAGAGAGAGAGAGAGAGAGAAGTGAGAGGGAACATTTATTGATGCCTTATTATGTGTCCCGATTGGGGATCAAACTGGCAACTTGGGTATGTGCCCTGACTGGGAACGCCCCCCACAACCTTTCCGTGTGTGGAATGATGCTCCAACCAACTGAGCCAGACCAGGCAGGGCTTCAGGGATTTTTATAAACGAAGGAATGAGGTAGGATTTCAATTTTAGCTGGTCTCATTCTTTAGCCAATGTTCAAAAGTGCAAGTCATTATGGAGACAAGATTTGGATGCCTAGATATTCGCTTTGCTGAAAGAAGAAAATGTGCCCATCAAGATCTGCACAAACTAGAACACATACGAGAGGAATAGGGTTCCACCTAAAAATTAGCAACGTCCAATCCTAAGATGTTTGAGAAAAGTGAAGTACTTATGAGCACTCTAGAAGCAAAGACCAACACAACTTAAAAGAAATTAAAGACTCAACATGGAAATCACTGATCTCAATCAATCAACTGTTCAATGAAAATATTATCAAGAATTAGCCAAGGTCAAAGAACTCAAAGTACAATAACTTAAACAACTAAGATTAAAATATGTTTTAAAAAAATAATGTGCATTCAATGAAAAAAAAGACCAGAAGAACTGACACCAAAAATGCTGACAGTGGTTATAGCTGGGTTGACGGTGATTCTAATTTTATCTATATTACTTTAAATTTTTCTAGCATGACTAGAAAAAGAGTATATGAGTTAAATGTATTTTAGTAAAAAACACCAGTGGGGCCCAGCCAGCGTGGCTCGGTGGTTAAGCCTCGACCAGGAGGTCACAGTTCAATTCCCCTTCAAGGCACATGCCCGGTTTGTGGGATGGACCCCCAGTGGGGGT